CGGGCGGGTGGGGTGTGGTTAATAAGAGGCCTACTTTTCACTCACCAAATGAATAAATAAAAAAAGTAGCATCATTTGTAATCTTTGTGCATTGTGTGGATAGAACCCGAATAAAATTTGATTGCCGCATCTAATTCAACCCGAACAGCATAAAAGTCCCGATATAAACTTGAAATTAGGTGGCATTTGTTTTGCAGCCGTTTTTCCCCTTATCGGGTTAGGAACCCAAAGTTTTCGGTCCGTGTACAAACAAACGATAAATCTCCTTGACTGTGGAGTTTAGAAGTCTGTAGTGTTTTTAAAAAAATGTGAACTTATATGTACACATATTATTCGAACCACTGTTCTTGTGTCTGATTTTTAATGATGGTGGCACCCATAAACGTTTTCTGGATATTATAATTTATTTTACGAACTAGTTATTGTCATTCATTCCTCTTATCTTTCTCTCTTTCCATCATTTGGCGTTCAGCGGTCCCCGATCCGGTCAGTTTCGTTCAAAACAGTTCACGAACAACAGCGACCACAGTCTCGTTTGCTTGGCTTCCTCCAACACGAGATGGAAACAAACCGGTGCGCAAGTACCGGATTCGGTATTCACATTCCGACGAGGCGCATAGCACTCAACAAGTACGTACTGGTTCAATAGCTCAACCAACCAACCAATCAATCAATCAATCAATCAATCAATCAATCAATCAATCAATCAATCAATCAATCAGTCAGTCAATAAATCTATTTATCTATCCATTTGTCTATATATCTACCGATCGATTTATCTAGCAAGCTGCGGAATGGTGCTCATCAAGATGAGCGAACATGTTGCGGCTGAAAAGCTTCGGAAGCATCGGGTAACTGTTTCATTCATGTTGAGAGTAATCAACAGTACGTGTCCACCGAGTTCATTGGAATTGGAGCCCAGGTACGAGGGATTGTCGGACCGGCAGGCTAGCTACTTGGGCTATCCGCACTGGCTCTCAGAAGTTTTCTACATGTCGCAACTACATGATATATCGCTCGTACGGCACTGTCATTAAAAGCACCGGACTTCTCCTGACTCTGCTCGACGAACAAACCGTCAGAAGCAAACGAAATGTTTTGTGTAAATAACAATTCTGTGGATCACATGAAAAACCAATGAAAAATGAAAGACGGTCTGATCAGCTGCCCGGTGGCCGATTCGGTAGCATTCGGTAGCACGTTCTACCTGTGAGGTCCATGGGGTGGGCGATCCCCGGTTGAGTCCATAAATTTGCGCATTGCGGATGAGACCCAACCAGGTCGAAACAGCTGTCCAGCAGTGCTTTCTAGCTTTTCAGTCCACGCTTCATTTACCATATACACGACGATTTTCTCCTTTTAAATTGAATCAAATACTCAAAACTCACATATAACCAATTATTGTTTTTTTTGGCACACGGTGTCTAACGTTAGGCTGGATCTCATCCCCGCCTCCCGCATGTTGATCTTTATGTACCCATTTCCACTTCTGTACAGCTTTGGGTGTCCTGACCACTACAGATTTATTTGCCTCATTCATGCTTTCTTTTGAACTTTGATGTTGACCTCTGGTGTGTGTGTGTGTGTGTGTGTGTGTGTGTGTGTGTGTGTGTGTGTGTGTGTGCGGACCAATTATTCCGCTCGTACACTCCCGACTGAGAATTGCGCCGTGCACTCAGTATTGTGGCACTATCATCGGCACCACCCCCACACTAAACGAAACCGGATTAGCATAATTCACATCTTTTTGATTCATTCTCTCTCTCTCTCTCTCTCTCTCTCCCATCCTCAATCCGTTTGTTACATGTCCGCGTTCGTTCGTCTGTTGATACTTTGCTCGGTTTGGTTTTTCCAGTCTAATGTCACCGAACTGGACGTGAATGCCAGTCTGAGACGGATCGAGTTGAAAAATCTTCGACCGTATACCAAATATCACATCACTGTGGCTGCTATCAACGATGTTGGTCCCAGTGTGGAGAATGCGCTCGCGTTGACCACCCAGGAAGCAAGTGAGTAATGATCATTCTGATATAATGACAACTATTCCTGTTCATTTCTCTCTCTCTCTCTCTGTGTGTGTGTGTGTGTGTGTGAATGAAGTTCTGGTGTGATCAGCTAAGTGGTTCACTTTTTTTCTCGCCTAATCTATTGTCATTTGTGATAACGGTCCGTCTTCCACCACCCCGAAAATTCGTGTCCCATTGGATCGATATTGATCCATCAAATGAGTGTTGTTTGGTTGGCTAATCAACAATCTTAGCTCATTGATTTCCGTCATACGTTCAAACAAACTTACTCGGAGCTGCAAATGAGGGTACAAGTACATAAATGAAGTGTCAAAAGAGTACTGGATGCCCATGTTTGAAGAGTGGCAAGAACTACGAAGCCGGTCGTTTGCTTTCAGGGAAATTGTCGAGTCATTCATATACTACTTATTATGATGCATGGTATGCTCATGATTAGGTATTCATTCAGGCACTGGAGCGGGAGGGAAGGCAAATCCACAAACCACTTTGATCTCAGCCAATGATTATATGGTCGGATAAACTTTGCTTCTTTCCCGGGGTAATCGATATGATGACCTGTGTCAATTATACCTTTTCCCATCAAGCCTTAGACAAAACCCGCAATCCTTTAGCCTTCACTCGCATGGCATTGGCCAAAACCCGCAATGCTTTAGTCACGACCCGTAGTCCTTTAGCCTAGACGCACAAACTTGTTTTGCGTTCACAGATGAACCCCGTTCATGAGAACTGAATACATAAATATACCGAGGATAAAAGACACCATTCACGAAAGAACACTTCCATAAATATCATCAGTTTATTAACACTGCACCATGTGAGGCTCAAGAATTACAGGTTTTGTCTAAAGCTTCATGATAATAGATGCGCCAAATGGATGTGTATTTATCTGAACGGGGAATGTTATCTCCGGACTGGTTATGTGTCCACATCACAATAGCGAGGTTCATTTTAAATGGAGATACGGGACGGTGAGTATATACATTTTTGTGGTATCATTTTTTGATTTATTTCCGGGCTAACGGATGCCAAACAGTGTGTACCGTTTGTGGTACACTTGAGCTTTTTCACTCGCGGAAGTAGCGCATGGTATACGGAAACACTGAAGCCCTGCGAGATGTGTCAAGTGGTCTATCGGTTAAACCTTTCCTCATCAATATGTATTGCTGCATGCCACCCCCCCCCACTTCTTCTTCTATTTCCTAACCAAGCTTTGCAAAATCAACATTTGTAGATAATAATTTTTTTCAACAACTGTGGTCTTCAGAATATTGCGATACTAGCTGATCTGACTCGTCCACAGCGGCGTGAATAAAAATTGTGCGTCTAGGCTAAAGGACTACGGGTTTTGGCTAAAGCTTGATGGGAAAAGATGTGGTATTTATGCCGTAATAAGATTTTAACGTGATCACCCGCTCTTACCTACTCATGTAGCGAATCGATTCGTTTCTTAGTGTTGTCCTTTTTCTCTTGCGTTCTGTCCCAAATCTCTTATTTCTCGAGGAATTTTGGCATTTGGAGCGGAATTTACTAGAGGGGTGAGAGCGAAATCTGTACCCAATCCTCAGTTTCATTGACTTCTGGCTTAGCTAGTAGCCC